ATTCAACTTCTTTTTATGTGATTACATATACCGAAATTGCAGCTTTAGGTAATTCTTTAGGGGTCATTCAACTTTGTGCCACAATAAATGCAACTTAAAGAGAGACTGTTATTTTTCATTTTATATGTCATTAATATTACCATTATTATTACAATTAATATTAATTTTATTATTATATTTGACGTTTTGTTGGGTTCAATTCTTAAACAATTTGGGTTTCGGCTCGCAATGCTGGTTTTCCACAATTTTAATCACAGGCTGTCATTTATACCTGGCTTTTATTTTGTACATTTTTAGACTTTTATTGGTAAAAATTCAATTTTCAATCTGGAATTGCTCGTTGTACTGAAAATATTGCAAGCCGTGCATATTTTCATATACAAGAATGCGGGCTACATTTGAACTCTAACCAAAAATTGTCGACAACCAAATATGGTTACATAAATGCAATATTTGGGGCAGAGTTTTTTATACTTTGGTGCTGTGGCTGGCTCAACAGTTTTTTATTTTGAAAAGAATAGATCTTTATATGAGTTCGAAGTTTCAAGGTTTCGGGTAAAGCCTTCAATAAAACTAAATTAAATGAATTAATAAGTAATAAATCAATTGTGAACCCCATATGTAGGACATGTGTCTTAAGCACTTGGACTTTATTAATGTCTGAAATCTTCCATCCACATGTAATTAAAGGAAGTCTGATATTTACTTGCACAATCTCAGACTGGCTAATTAACATAACTGAATGCTCCACATTATGACCTGGCAGTTGCAATGACAATAAATTGCCAAGGCTCTTAATACTTGCCTTGATTACAGTATATTTCAACGGCAGCTCCATTTGCTTGGCCCGCGGCGCACTCATTAGCCGTGCAGTCGGCGACTTAATTGCGCCAGAGATTCGCGAGTACTCGGTTCAACTTTAACGCTCGCTAATTGGGGAATTTCGTGATAAATTGCAAGCCTTCTGGACTTCGCCAGCGGCTCTTACCGCCTCTCAGGGAGTTTCCAACGCAGCAGGCGGCAGGCGTTGAGCATTTTTCAATAATAAATCAATTAATCAGCTGCATTGCGGCGCGTTTGGCTTCTGGGTTGACCTTTGCTCTGGTCTGATGATTGCGGTCGCTTCTATGGCTGCGGAATTGAAATGAATTGATGAGATCATTTAACAAATTGCTAATATTTTTAGCCACTCTGCGTGGGTGTGTTGATGTGTGTGTGTGTGTGTGTGTGATTGTAATTGAAATTTTGGCAGCTCAAAGGCTTCACGCCGCTAAATAGGCAACAATAAACGTGCTATAGCCCACGGCAATGCAATGAAAACAGGTCACATATGTGTCGTAAATGTGTCAGCTACATGAACGCATATATTAGCGATAATAAATTTTGTTTTTTCGGCTATTGCCCCTATGCGCTAACCGCGCAAAACTCCCAACAAAAAATGCCCGAAAAAGTACACTTTGCAGCTTTCCTGCTTGGGATTTGGAGCAGCTGACAATATCAGCAGACGACAAAGCCAGCGATAAACATGTCTCTCTGCTCTTGATTTACAAAGTGCATTTTTTTTGTGGGCCAATTCAAGCGAAAAACCAACTACAATATTAGCAAAAAGGGAGCCAGGCATAAAAATATCAAAACAAATAAAAATGCTTTTGCTAATAAGATATGAGTAAGTATTTAAGAAGTTTATAAATGTGTTTGAGTGGAAGAACAATGACAAATAATGATTGTTTATGGTGTATAATTCGTCTAATAAGCTTAGGCAAGTCTGGGAATTTTGTTTAGCTGAGTCCGCCTCTTCTTCTTTTTTCATGACTTCCAAAATACCAAACATTCTTTTTTCTGGTCTTTTAAGTATTTCGAATTATTATTATTTTGACCATTTACCATTCACTTTCTCTTTGTGTATGCGCAATATACATTGACGTAAGTTTAAATATATATAAACTACTTTTTGACAGTGGAAGTAACCCTAATGTAGCTTATTTTTTAAGGCTACAGACAATTATTTTGATGAGCATATCACGCTGTACGTTGCCTTAATGTTTTTTTGCCCAGATTTAGGCATTCTTTGACAAAAATATAAAATTCCTTTATACAAATGTTATTTTCCTGTACTTTGAGCACACACTTAAAAAAAAAAAAATGAAAAACTAAAAGACAACAACAATTTTTAAGTATCTCTTTACCACTACCAACACATCTCTTTCACTTGCCCTACCCCCTGTCTGTCATTTTTTACATAACACATATGACAAACTATGAAAAGTTGCTCAGTTGGTTGCAGGTGCATTTTGCAGACTTTTAAGTTACTTCCTGCCTCCTTCTCTGCTCAGTTCCGTTCACTTTTTTCTTGCCATTCTCTGTCTGCTCTGTCTGCTTGGTCAGATATGTCAACATGTTATGGGAACAGCCATAATATACTTAGTTTGTATTCGAAGCCGGTTGCAAAGCTACATCTAACATCAAAGCTGACAGTAAACCTCATGAAATTGCCATTCAACTCGAAACGGCTGCTATATTCAAATGCGTATATATCTTTATTCAACTGATTGATTTGAAGGAATGCCCCGTGACCAAGAGAATATTTTGCATGCAAATCCCTTTTACTAAAGGGTATAGAAGTATTTACAAAGGATTTTTATAGACCTGCTGGAATGCCGGAATTGGCTTACAATCAATTTCGCGACAGTTTGTGCCATACAGCAGAGATGTGGTATGTCATATTATATGTGACACATCTTCGACATACTTACCATGTCCACATATCAGGACCTCGATTATGAGCCTACCTGTGGTTAAAGCAGCAACTGCTAAAAATCCAATCAATAACTTTTTTTCTCTATCTTACAAGGCAGACGTGAGTGGCATGAGGAATTCGTGAAATCGAATGCCACGGCTATAAACACAGTCTGGGAGACAAGGAGGACGGTTTGTGCCACAGTGGAGACCCATTAGATATGCAAAGGCAGCCAAGGAATAACAGCCCTGGGGAGGCAGCATTACTCACACATTACAACTTAGCTGAACTGACATTCAATAAACATTTCAAATGTTCAATTATTTTTCAATTGCATCGATTTGCGCCGAGCATTCAGCAGTTTCGTGCTCTACCTAAACAGCTCCAGGACACAATAAAATCGACGACGCTAAATGACAAGCGAGACATTTGAAAATGTGTTTGCTGACAGCCAGGGGATAGCACATAGAAAGGATAGCGTTGATTTTCAGTGCCTCAATTTTGCACGTGACCCCGTACAAAATTAAAGAGAGACCGTTAGCCGGAAGTTATTTGACAACCATTTTGTACTGCCGCTAGCTAAATGTTCCAGCCATTTGGACGCCACACAATTCCAAATCCAATTCAGCTGCTTTGCATTAAAGCGTACCAAGGTCTTAACTGAAGCACTATATCCGTTGGCATCCATACGACGACTTCACTGGGGGCTTACAGTGCGTATGGGTTGGGTGTGTGTGTATGTGTGAGTCAGCGAGGCGGGGGTGAGCTAAGTGCCCGCCATGGTAAACAGGAAATGCTGACTTGACAGCGCCATATTCCCATGTTCATACCCAAACCCATGCCCAACTCCATACCCAAAACAGCCAACGGCAGCTGCCATGGAAACTGTTCGCTTAACCGCAAAAACCAGAAACCATTTTGGCAACGGAGCCCAGCGCGATAATCCTTTCAATTCACTTGGACATTTTTTGTGGAGTGCAGCTTTTTACTTTTTGCTCCTAAAATAAAAAAAAAAGAAATGGTTATAATGATTTTGCAATCATGTTTAATAGCCGAAATTTAATGCTGCATATATTCGTTACTTAGTTGTCATGGCGCATATCGTCACTTAAGCTGGCTTAAACCATTTCCATTTAATACTCTAAAAATGTTGGCAAAAATAATCAAATATTTTTCATTATTTTTTCATTTCGAAAACCTGAATAAATCATAACTATGGTAATAAATCTTCTATAAAAAAAATAAATCATCAACGGCTTAGTTAATCAACATGCGTTAAAAAAAAAACACAAAAATGTAAACGAACCTCGGACACGTGAAAGCCGAAACACAACTCAAATAACAAAAAAAATATCTAAATTGAAACACACACACATATAAACGACAAATAATATAATCCACTGTATAAACATTTATGCACATGCCTATGTGAGTACGTGTGGCTAAACATAAATCTAACAGTAAAGCGCTTGAAAAATGTGCAAAATAGTAAAAAAAAAACAAAAAAAAAACACAGAAAGAACAACACGAAGATAACCAAACGGTTTATGACCGCTCAAAAAGGGTTTAAACATATTTCAACATGGAATTTTCAAGTGTATTAAAACGGTATGTTTTTTTCCGCTTGCTGTTGTTGTTCCTGTTATGCTGTGTGTAAAAAGCGTGTGCACTAAATCATACTATTTGATGATTTATGACAGATGGGTGGGACGGTGGAACTGTGGGTGGCTCCTATTTGGCTGTGGGCAAAATTTGACGGCTGGTTAGTATTGTTGCAATGTCTGACGGAAACTTTTGCCATAAATAAATAAAGCAAAATCACAGCAGGTAGAAAACATTTGGTGAACCCAATGCAAAGCAAAAACTCAATTGTGGGGTATTCATTCATAAAAACAACCGTTACTTGCAGTCCACAATGCAAAGACAGGCAAAAGCAAAATGGCTGCAAGCTTGAGAGAGCGAAAGAGAGAATGCTTTGCAGCGCTGCAAAGTCAACAAGTATTATGGTGCCAGCTGTTCCAGTGGATGCCAAGTGGATGCCATGTACACCAGTGTGGTACACCAGTTGCGCCTTGTGGAACGCAGGGCTCGTTTACTGCGGGAACAGCTGTTCTTGTTGCTGCCGCCGCCGCTGCCGCTGCCACCGCATTGGCTACACGTTCGTCAGGCGCACAGGAAACCGCTCCATGTCGCTGTCAGCGTAGCCAACAGCTGGTCACAGTTTTCTTCAGCTTTTCAGTTGGCTTTCCATTGCGGCGCCGCACGCACGTGTCTCGGCAACGCCACGGGTCTGCATCTGGATATCAAGTAGCTGTGTCTGTTTCGGTTCTCGCTTCGCGCTGTGCTGCGCGTTTTGTGCGTGGCCAAAAGTTTTCAAAAAAAAAATTATAAAAAAAAAATTATTTAAAAAAAAAATACAAGGAATATAAATTGAAAAATCTTGGAATATTGTTGCGCTCGCCTGCAGCTGACATAAAATTGATGTGATTTTTGTTGATCAAACGAAGATGATAAATGCAGCCCGCGTCTTGACTTTAATTGAAATCGTGTAATCGCCGCAGACAGTTGCAAGCAAGGCGCTGCTTCAGTTTGCGGATTTTGATGAGGTGAGTTCTGTTTAAGCAGCTCTCAAAAACTTTTCGCCAAGTTTACAAAGCTCTTTTGCCCGCGGATTAGTAGCTTACAAAATCCATCGAGTATACGCCATGTGCCGGTCAATGGCACAGTTGATAAATAAAATTTAACTAGGTTTATGTTTTGATAGGTTTGGAAAGAATTTATTAACCTATACTCGAGCAGAGTCTGTAAAATGTAAGTTCAATTATATAAACTAATCTAGCATGTATTAAAGCTTTCTTAAGGATTCCAATAGCATACCAACTGACTAGGCTCATTAACTTTGAGCTGTTTTAGAGCTGCAGCTTTTGGCTTACATTTGTCCATGCCTGTGGTTTATATCTCCACCCAACGTTAGGTCTCATGTTTTCCCATGCTTATACTTATCCTAAAACATGGCCCATGCCATAAAGGCTCCCACACCACATACCTTTACCTATCTATTCTTATCTTGACGCTACGCGCTACACTCATGGCCATTATTATAACGCAGGCACATAAGTATATGCTTGGTTTTTCTTTATGATCGATGTGGCCACAAAAGTGCAATCGAAGTACCGACAACGACCCAGCGCGCACAACTATCAACTGGGGTGTAGTTTTTCCCCGGCAAAGTGTAAATGAAATTTATGTGTTTCATCATAAAATATAGTCTTTATTGTCAATAGCCGGCGAGCAGCAAATAAACAATAAAAGCGACTCAAATCATTTATACAGCTGCTTGTAAAACATAAAAATCATTTTTTTCCATTTAAATTCAGCCAAAAGAGAAGTTCGCATAAAACGCGAGCTTTAGCAGCGAAAAGGAAAACAACAGACTGAAAAATGTAAAGGACAACAAACATAAACTAGAAACCTGCGCAAACCTTAAACACATAAACCTAATATTTTTATGCTTATACCAGATACTATCTTTTTGCCTTTTGCGACAGCCCGCTGTGTGTTTTTTATGGACACAACATAAAAGTGAGTCTAAAAAATTGGTATTACAACAGCTAGAGAGGAAGCAACAAATGAAAAGGACGAGCGCAAACAATGCTCGAAAGGTTTGTTTGCCAAAATATTTGAGAAGATAGCGCAAAGTTTTCTAATTTCCCAGAAGGAAATTGCCCTTCGTAAGTTGACTTAACTTAGTGCAAGCCTTTCCTTTTCACAGCCATCGCGGCTGTATTTATGCAAACAAACCAAACTTCTGTCAATAAAAGCCACAATAAACATTTCAATTTAAGTGCTGTGAATTTCGACAAAGCAAACGCAACAGCTGCTAACACTTACTAAAAGCGTATCAGTGCGGCATATTTTTGGTATTTTATATCGTATATTTTTAGTATATTTTCTATATGCATATATGTTCGCAAGCCGTCAGAATTTACAAAAACAATGTCGTTAGTTTTAATTGGCTTTGTTGACACATTTATTTTAAAGCAATTTTTCTGGCGGCGGCATTAGACAACAAATAAGTGCAGCCATTAAGAATGTTTCATTGAGGAATGCTTGACTGGAAGATACCCTATGGAAAGTGTTCATCTGTTTACCAGTCGAAACCTATACAAATGTTAGGTCATAAAGTCAGTGTAAGGGAAAAGTTAAACCATTTAAATAATTCCAAATTGAACTAAGCTGATGTTACCTGATATACATCAAGAATACATATCAAATGAAAGTATATTAGCTTTTGATGCTTCTTAAGCAGATTTGCATGAAACTAAGATTTCCGGAGTATTAAGTTACCCGACTCGAGCATTCGTTGACAGGGTATAGCATTGCCCGCCAATGAATGTGGCCATAAATTTTGCTCTTTAATGTCATACTCGTCACAGTCCCTCGAAAGTCAAATGTCAATAGCCTATGTAATCGTTGACTCGTGACTTTGACACTGGCTCTCTTCTAACGGATTAAATGAAACGCATCAAACTTTGCGCGCTGGTCAAGTTCACAAGAAATATCGCACAAGTTGAGCTAATTAGGTTTTGCAACTGCCCATGAGACGGTATTTGCCCATTGTGGTTTGATCCCAACTGCCAAACCGAAGCAAATGATATCAGTCTTTGTCTCAGTGTGGCTGCAAGTTGGGCTGCTCCACTGTTGCCGGGCTGCGACGGTCTGTGGCTTTTTTGGCTTGGAAAAATGTTGGCAATGGCTTCGCTTCGTTCTGTGATATGATTTGAATAAATTGCCTGAGGCGTTTTACAGCTGAATATTATTTGCCAAGCCAAGAAGACTTTTAAAGCGAGCTATACATAATTTAATTTTGCTGCATGAAATGTTCGATTTTGTATATTTTAATTGATGCACGACTTGAAGTACAGAATGCTGGCGTGGCAATTCGTGCAAGCTTAAGAACCTTTTATATGATTTCTGGCTTAACTGATAAGCTATAAAAAAAGTTGCGTATACGCCACATGTGTCGCGTTATTGTAAATGCGCATCATGTGCATCATAAATGTGCCAACTTTTCAATGGGAAGTGTTACATTTCGCAGCTTGTAAAACATAAAACTTGGAACAGCTTTGCGCTTACCAAGAACATTGTGTATACGCCATGTGGGCGTAGGAAACAACTGCGCTCTGGAGGTGTGTCAGCAAGTGATAATCCAAATGGGTATTGTCAAAATAAATGACTATGGGCTTAGCTTACATTAGGACCTTTTTTACTCTCAAATGAGCCACGTAAAGTGTTTGTCTAGCCGGCCCTTGAAATAAATTCAAATGACTCTTGAAATTGCCAACAATTTTTCAATGAAAAACTTACGAGTCGAGCCAAAAAATTTCAATACCTAAGCCCATAACAATATGGAGCTGAAGTGGGCTAACCGCAGAATTTATATGGGCTCTGCGGTTGACAAACTTGTAGCCCAATCACCGCCTTATGGACCACGTGACGCTCCCCACCCGGCAATAACTAAGTTGTAAGCCATTCCATACCCGGACAGGCCCCAAAATGGATCAATATTTCATTTGCCCATGTTTATGCGCCAGTCGAGGCCCAGTTGGCGGCAAAGCACTTTAAATAAATCAGTTGCGGAAGGGCATAAAGCGGGAGAGAGAGTTCAGCATATAGCCAAAAGGAGCTGAGCAACATATGCGTTGGCTGCAACAACAACAACCAAACGGAACAAACAAAATCTCTTACGTATGCATTTTATTTTGTGCAATACCCAATGCAAGGTCAACGCCAGCCACGTCCTGTGCTCATCACGTCCCATCATCAGCGGATGCCTTTTCCAAGTAGATATGCATGACTGATGGCGTATCCATATTATATATTTTGAACAGCAAACGCGGTTGCATTCTGATTACTCTACGTCTCCTCCACATCCCTTTTTGCCACCCTACTTGCAAATGCGTTACTGTTGCATAAATCTTGGCGAATATTACGCATACGCAGAGTATAGCGCCAGCGAATTCTCATGAAACAATCTGTCAGTTTATGCGGAAGCTATGAGTATAGCAAATTGCATGCATAAATAATGATTATTTCATTTAAATGATATTTTCGTCAACATGAGGGAGCGGCAAATGCGTTGAGCGCTGGCATTAAATTCAATTAAATGCACATATAAGTATACGAACAGCTCTAGTATGACTGTAATTAAACATGATGCTTTTTGGGGAAGATAGTTAATACACAGCTGCAATTATGGCTATTAGGGTTTGGGGCTTATGTTTGGGTAAATCATGGAATTTTCTGAGGAATATAAATTTAAATACGAAATGCTGCTGCTGCTGCTCGGATTAGTAAAAGCATTAAATAGAATTAAGTTAGCTAAGGAATTAAGGGGTGAATTTTGCTGGCTAAATTATCTCTCAATTTTGTGTGCCACGGCGAAGAAAGCAGCTCAAATTAAATCCAAGGACTCTCTAGACTCTAGGATTGTATCTTAGTTAAGTAGCTAAAGCGATATAGTAATAATATTATCATAAATATAATAACTAGCTGCCAGCAGCCAGTTCTTATTGGCCACATTCATTCAGTTGATAACCCAAACGCTTCAGAAACGGCAAATTAAACGAAGTGCAGTAAACCATTGCATAGCAAAGGGCGTACTTGGGTCTTTAAGCTCAAGTGCTTTGTTTACTTGACCAGCATAAAACCGAACAGATTCCAGACAGGGAAAGACGTTGCACTGGTGGCAAACAACAATGGCCAATGGCAACATCAACAATCGACAGCAAATAGACAAAAGATGCGGCAGACAGCCCGTAAAAGATTATAAAGAATCAAGTGCCGAGTGTCTGAGCTAAGGAGCCAGCCATTGTCGAAAACAAAATAAAAAGAAGAACATTTTCCTTGTTATTTTAACCAAAAATTTAACACTGTTCAGACAGATGAGTACATCACAGAAGTATTGCACGCACTTTCATTTCATTTTATTTTCCCTGATTTCTTGTGCATTCAGCTTAATTTTTCTTTTGAAATAAGAAACGATAAACAAAACGAAAAAGTTATCAACATATCTTGGCAAATTGTGTTGGCATATGCTTGATGATAGCCTACAAGCACACACATACACGAAATAAAAGAGAAAATTGCACTTGTCGTCTATTGACACTTGGCAAATGGCTGAGTTATGAGGTTTTTGGCCTGGCACGTACTTTATGCAGAGTAGTACAACAACCAGACAAATGGTTGATTTGCATATTATTATCGGCCATACTGCTGAAGGATTTCATTCCCAAGTGCTGCTATTTTTCAACGCCAGCATATTTGACTTTTGCCTGCTCCAATAAAAAGCGAAAGGATAAACAAAATGGCCCGAAAATTGCATTTCATCAAGGAGACAAACATCAAGTGCACATGCAAGTCAAGGCAGAGACAAATAACAAGCCCTGCGGCATGGCAGCCAAAGAGTTCTGTGTGTGTCTCTGTCTGTTCGTGAGCAAAACATTTTCCGACTTGTTGAAATGCAAGTGCTGGGAATACTGTTGAGGTATAAAACAGGAAACGGTGAGGACATGCTTATTACCTGATGTTGACATTTCTCAACAGT